TGATATTGTTATTAAATGTACATTGATCTGTGAGAAGGAATCAGTATATTACATTATATGTAATGTAGATATTGTACTAATGATATTGTTCTTACATGTACATTGATCTGTGCGAAGGAAGCAGTATATTACGTTATAACCGATGTAGATATAGTATGATTGATGTTGTTATTAAAATGTACATTTATCTGTGGGAAGGTGTCAGTATATTACATTATATCTAATGTAGATATAGTACTAATGATATTGTTATTAAATGTACATTACATATCTAATGTAGATATAGTACCAATGATATTGTTATTAAATGTACATTGATCTGTGGGAATGAATCAGTATATCACATTATATGGAATGTACAAATGGTGCTAATGATATTGTTATTAAATGTACATTGATCTGTGGGTAGCAATCAGTATATGACATTATATCTAATGTAGATATGGTAATAATGATATTGTTAATAATGTACATTGATCAGTGGGAATGAATCAGTATATTACATTTGATGTAATGTAGATATAGTAATAATGATATCGCTATTAAATGTACATTGATCTGTGGGAAGTAATCAGTATATCAGATTATATCCGATGTAGAGAGAGTATGAATGATGTTGTTATTAAATGTACATTGATCTGTGGGAAGGAATCAGTATATTACATTATATCGAATGTAGTGATAGTAATAATGATATTGTTATTAAATGTACATTACATATCTAATGTAGACATAGTACTAATGATATTGGTTTTAAATGTACATTACATATCTAATGTAGACATAGTACTAATGATATAGTTATTAAATGTACATTGATCTGTGGGAAGGAGTCAGTATATTACATTATATCTAATGTAGATATAGTACTAATGATATTGGTATTAAATGTACATTGATCTGTGGGAAGGAATCAGTATATTACATTATATCTAATGTAGATATGGTAATAATGATATTGTTTTTAAGTGTACATTGATCTGTGTGAATGAAGCAGTATATTACATTATATCTCATGTAGGTATAGTGCTAAAGATATTGTTATTAAATGTACATTGATCTGTGGGAATGAATCAATTTATTACATTATTTCGAATGTAGATGTAGTGCTAATGATATTGTTATTAAATGTACATTGATCTGTGGGAATGAATCTGTATATGTCGTTATATCTAATGTAGATATGGTATTAATGATATTGTTTTTAAATGTAGAGTGAAATACTAAGACAAATAACAATAACGTACTCTGTAAAGGAATGCAATTACTTTGTCGCAAGATATATCTGGAAATATGCTTAAGGTAAAAGAAATATTAAACCTTAACTTCTTCATTACATCCTTTATTTCAAATTAATGTTCTTGAGTACAATGTATGAATATATAATAATGTGATTTCTTTTTCTTTATTTTCAGCATTTATTCACACAGTGATCAGGAAATTACAACAAGCAAATTATGAAGTAGAAAAATATAATAGATACAGTTAACATATTATCTAAAGAACAAGATTATTAAATTAGATAAGTTTATTTTGCAAATCATCGGCTATAATAACAATGTAATGCCAGCATACTTTAAGTAAATAAATTAACAGGAGATAATGAGACTTATAAATTGTAATTTCCTGTTCCAATTTCCTTAATATAGAGTTTAATTCATAGTTCACATTGTCTTTTTCTACTTACAAATAAATACTTTTGTCGTGTTAAAATTCATAAATAAGAAAGAAAGTTGTAATATCGAAGTTGTTACTTTACTATTCACTTTCATCTATTTTGTATCACTTGTGTTTACAAATCTCAAACTCATCCCATCCGACTAAAAGAGTCCAATTGAAATATTCTATTGTCCAGACCATTTAGAAAATATATTAAAACATTTAGAAACAATCTTGTTCAGCAAAGACTTATGGAGAAAAGATAGAAAATGATATCCAATTACTGTGAATTAGTTTTATGTCACCATAAGCAAATATAACCTAAAATTTTACAATGCACAATTCACTAAATTTCTTGAACAATTGTACTAGAATATATTAATCACATGTAGTCCGACAATACATTCTGTCAATTATATATCTTTTTCCTGGTAATCACCGATACTTTACAATTTTTTGGCGAAACACGGAGCACATGTCAGAATGTAACGCGTTATACAGCTGACGCGATAAGACTGTAGAAATCGATAGAAATCGATAGTTCCACTATTTTTCCACGCATTTTCATGATCAACCCCTTTTTTTGTCGAAAATCACGAATACTTTTCAATTTTTTAACGAGGGAAGGTGCTTATCATGGAAAATAAATTGTTCTAAATACGACGCAATAAAATAGTAAAAAATCGAAAAAATCAATAATTCCACAATTTTTCCATATATTTGCATGATCGACCACTCTTTTTACTGGAAATCGCGATTAGTTTTCAATTTTTTAGTGAGAAAAGGTGCTTATCGTCGAAAATGAGCTGGTCTGAATACGACGCAATAAAATAGTGTAACGTGAAACGTTATCACGTGAATGTGTTTAGAGTGGTGTGGCGACACTGCCATAGGAATATTTATCGATAGTCTATTGTATCGATATGTCTTGAATGTTCTTTGAGGACCTTTTGTATCGATGGTCATAAATTAAGAGCGAAATTCGAACATCGTCTATGCGTACCCTTATATAAATAGACAAAGAGTAAATTGTAAACCCCTCGACGTGAGTAATAGAGCTGAGAGAAGGCCGGAAGTCCAGAGAATGGAATAGTTTCACTTTGAAAATTCCTAAAAAACTAATTTATGATAGACCATAGCCAATTCGTTGTTTTCGACCAAGTCATGAACGGTCGTTAAGGGTTACGAAGTCTTTTTCAATATCCTGTCTTTTCATGCACTCTAAGAGGGTCGTAAATTTCCTCAAGAGTTGCTTTGGCAAATACAAGGTCTTGTCGTTTCCTAATTTCTCTGGGTCCCACGCTTTCTCGTAGCACATGTGTGCTGCAACATTCTAGCGTCTTGGCGGAGCGCCTCCACTTCCACGCGCTTGAGGGTGGACCACAGCCAGGAGAAGGGGCCCACACGAGACGGGGTGGACTCCTCCACCATTGGACGAGGGATGATCCTGAGGGAGGATCCAGGATCCACCAAGGAAGGGGCATCGACCGGCAACGCGCGAAGATCTCCTCCGCCAAGCGCAGAATTGTTAGAATGATTTTGTCACTCGTTACGAACAAGTCGTTCTCACTCAGAAGGGTCTAAGCCTTAATAACACAAAGTTTAAGGTTCCGATTTAAATTGAAATACAAAGTATTAAAGTACTCTAAACAAAACTACAGTTTATTATTTTGTATATCCGCGCCTTGAGAGCGGAGCGCCTCTGCGCTCCACGGACTGTCACACCTGCACCTAAATCCCCGAATATCCCTATTTTCCGCAACGGACACGCAACAATAGTAAAAAATCGAAAAAATCAATAATTCCACTATTTTTCCATATATTTGCATGATCGACCTCTCCTTTTACTGGAAATCGCGATTAGTTTTCAATTTCTTAGTGAGAAAATGTGCTTATCGTCGAAAATGAGCTGGTCTGAATACGACGCAATAAAATAGTAAAAAATCGAAAAAATCAATAATTCCACTATTTTTCCATATATTTGCATGAACAACCACTCTTTTTACTGGAAATCGCGAATAGTTTTCAATTTTTTAGTGAGGAAAGATGCTTATCGTAGAAAATAGTTGTTCTAAATACGACGCAATAAAATGGTAAAAAATCGATAAAATCAATAATTCCACTATTTTTCCATATATTTTCATGATCGACCACTCTTTTTAGAATTGAAAACTATTCGCGATTTCCAGTAAAAAGAGTGGTCGATCATGCAAATATATGGAAAAATAGTGGAATTATTGATTCTTTCGATTTTTCACCATTTTATTGCGTCGTATTCAGAACAACTTATTTTCGACGATAAGCACCTTTTCTCACTAAAAAATTGAAAACTATTCGCGATTTCCAGTATAAAGAGTGGTGGATCATGCAAATATATGGAAAAATAGTGGAATTATTGATTTTTTCGATTTTTTACTATTTTATTGCGTCGTATTTAGAACAATTTATTTTCCATGATAAGCACCTTTTCTCGCTTAGAAATTGGAAAGTATTCGCGATTTCCAGTAAACACAGTGGTCGATCATGCAAATACATAAAAAAATGTTGGAAATAATGATTTTTGCGATTTTTTACTATTTTATTGCGTCGTATATAAACAACTTATTTTTCATGATAAGTACCTTCCCTCGTTAAAAAATTGAAAAGTACTGGTGATTTTCGACAAAAAAAGGGGTTGATCATGAAAATGCGTGGAAAAATAGTGGAACTATCGATTTCTATCGATTTCTACAGTCTTATCGCGTCAGCTGTATAACGCGTTACATTCTGACATGTGCTCCGTGTTTCGCCAAAAAATTGTAAAGTATCGGTGATTACCAGGAAAAAGATATATAATTGACAGAATGTATTGTCGGACTACATGTGATTAATATATTCTAGTACAATTGTTCAAGAAATTTAGTGAATTGTGCATTGTAAAATTTTAGGTTATATTTGCTTATGGTGACATAAAACTAATTCACAGTAATTGGATATCATTTTCTATCTTTTCTCCATAAGTCTTTGCTGAACAAGATTGTTTCTAAATGTTTTAATATATTTTCTAAATGGTCTGGACAATAGAATATTTCAATTGGACTCTTTTAGTCGGATGGGATGAGTTTGAGATTTGTAAACACAAGTGATACAAAATAGATGAAAGTGAATAGTAAAGTAACAACTTCGATATTACAACTTTCTTTCTTATTTATGAATTTTAACACGACAAAAGTATTTATTTGTAAGTAGAAAAAGACAATGTGAACTATGAATTAAACTCTATATTAAGGAAATTGGAACAGGAAATTACAATTTATAAGTCTCATTATCTCCTGTTAATTTATTTACTTAAAGTATGCTGGCATTACATTGTTTTTATAGTCGATGATTTGCAAAATAAACTTATCTAATTTAATAATCTTCTTCTTTAGATAATATGTTCACTGTATCTATTATATTTTTCTACTTCATAATTTGTTTGTTGTAATTTCCTCATCACTGTGTGAATAAATGCTGAAAATAAAGAAAAAGAAATCATATTATTATTATTAAATAATTGAGTACATTGTACTCAAGAACATTAATTTGAAATAAAGGATGTAATGAAGAAATTAAGGTTTAATATTTCTTTTACCTTAAGCATATTTCCAGATATATCTTGCGAGAAAGTAATTGCATTTCTTTACAGAGTACGTTCTTGTTATTTGTCTTAGTATTTCACTCTACGCTGGTTAATTTCTTTATTGTATCTATTCAATTTTTTTACTTCATAATTTTTGGTGGTGATTTTCCCATCAATGTTTGTACAGATTCTGAAAATATAAAAAGAGAACAAGAAGTAGTATTATTAAATATTGATACATTGTATTCAACTGCACTTATTCTTGGAATCCACCAAATTACTTACCAAATAATGGCAAATATACCCCCATTTTGATTTGTCTTATTGTCAACAACATATAAAGTTCACATAAAGTCAAAGAAGCTTGCACGTATTTATTACTCAGCATCATTATTCCATCTTGCATTCCATTTCCTGCAATATATGGTTGATTGTGCTTGTAATTTGGTAAGCACTTTCAAGATGTGATTCACTCTAACCTACATCTGTCAAAAGTTATGCATAGTTTCCCTGACTGTATTTGCTTCATGAAATAAGCGATACATCCTTCAGTTTGCTCTTGTTGGAACATTCGTATCGTTACTGCATTCGAAATTTACAATTGTTTATTTGTTATTACACACACACAATTATTGTAAATAAATACAAGTACTTGTACATAACGGTAAATAACTACATATTACTGTTACTACTTGTAAATAGTTGTCAATAGTTGTAAATATGAATTATAAATTGGTAGTATAAATGAATGTGCCCTTTTTGTGTAAATTGAACTTGTAAGAAATAATTGTCTGTGTGTGTAATAACAAATAAACGTATGTAAATTTCGTATGCGGTAAGGATGTAAATTACATACTGGATAGAAAACATAGCTTAAATTCTATAAAAATTTCAGCGTATCTAATTAATTATCAATAAATGCAATGATTATAGCACAGCTATACTAGTTATTCAAAACGAGACAAATTATGATTTAAAAAAATGAAAATTTGAGAACCATGGATTTGAACCCTGGACCTGTAGATTGGGAGTCATGCGTTTTACCGCGAAGCTAACCGTTTTTTTATCTTGTTGACATTGTTTATTAACTTTTGTCTTTCTTCTGTTACAGGTACACTAACGTAAGATCCAGAATAAACGACTGACTGAGTTGAGTATATAATTAGCAACTTATCCTAATGGCGCGCAACTGAGCCTCTCTAGGACACGCTTATTAATGCATAGAGCTTTTGGCTATTTGCTTTGGTTTGTAATTGTTTTTCAGTAATAACTTGATAATACGAAAATGTTCAGGAAACGAAATTTTGTAGATTAAATAACAATTGAATTTGTTTGTTCCAGGTGATGGATGAGCGAAGAGGGAAAAAGAAAAACATGAAGGAATAGAAACAGTGAGTGAGAGAGCAGAAGATGATAAAGGAAGGAATTATGGTATGCGAAGATGATACAGCGACTTACACACTAATAGGAAAACTTACTTACTAAATAACGCAACAACAAAAACAACTAACTTAAAAGAAAAGAAGACTATAATACAATAATAACGATTAAACTTGGTATTGTAACGTCCCGGGAATTATTATCGCGAGTACGCTACTGCACCGACCGCGTAGGGAGAGCGGTTCCCTATGAGAAGGCGACTCGTAAATAACAAAATAATGAAGGGATCATAGGTTCGGGTGGTGCGCGGTAAAGGAGTGAAATCCAACGTTAATTCCTTTCTCAAAAATCGTAATGAGTGTTTATTCAAGAAAAAATGTAATGTGTTTGTTTATAATATGTGTATAAAAAGAAAAGGTAAGTAATTATTTGAGTTATATAAAAATGTAAGTAATGAAAATAATATAAAGAATTAGTGAAATCAGTGTACAAATGTTGCGCCCTGTTCTTGAAATACAAAAGGAAAATTAATTATATTAGTTACAATGAGTGCGCCCTGTATATAAAAAAAAATACAAAGAAAAATAACAAAATAGTGAAGACCTAAAATAAAATACAAAGAAAAATTTAATTGATTAGTGAACGCGTCTCTAGATACGATTATGAAAATTCTAAATCTATAACTTGAATTTATAAAATAAAATTTATTCAAATAAATTGTTCGATTGTCGGGGAGTTGGCGTGGATCCGTTCCGACACTGTAGGAGCTAACCCGTTCGGCCGCAGTACGATTTCTGAGCAACTTAGCCGTCACTGATAGGCCGCATCCAAGGAGCTTCTGCTTTCGCTCGCTCGTTAAGCTTGGTTGCGAACACTGCAGGACGGTATCGTCGCTCTAGAGCCAGTGTGCTAATAGGCCGCATACAAGGAGCTTCGGCTTTCGCTCGCTCGTTAAGCTTGGTAGCGAACCTGACACGTATGAGAACCGCTGCGAACCGGTGGTCGAGCGCTCCGGGTCTGACGCAGAACCTTTGCCGCCTCGCCGACAAAAGAATCTAAGCTACTGGAAACCTACGTAGTAATCGTATCATAGATCCGTGTCGGACTACGATCAGAATCGAAGTGGAAATGCTCCTCGCGGCACGCTCGTATTTATACCCGAGATTTGCTTACGTAGAAGTTTTTTCTATACACGTTTTCGATACCGGAAGTGTTTGGACTTTGACCGGAGTGTACGTGACTCCGCGCGTATCGCTGTCTTTGTCTATGCGTAGTGCTATCTTTCTTTATTCTGCGCTCTATTTCTATCTCTATCTATATATCCCGCGTCGATCTTTTATCGACGTGGTAGAATTATCGACGCGGTAATTATCGATGTATTTTTTTTTTTTAAGTATAAATTTTGTTAAGTATAAATACAACATTCTTTTCTTATTTGTTAAATATGAATATAATTGTCAATCTGAATTGTGTTAATATAATAATAATAAAAAAAACGAAGTGTTATAATTTTGATTGTATAAAAACTAAAAAAAATAAATATATTTTTTAATAATTAAAAATTTTTTTTTTTTATTTATTCTTCTTCCTGCGGGATGTTACAGTATACTAAGTTCTTACTATCAAAATAAATGGTCCATGTGTAATACCATTAATAAAGTTTTGTTGAGATAATTATATTTTGCTCATTTATGTTTATCTTAGCCCTACTCTATCAGTCTTACAAGGAGTAGGCAAGCACTTCGGGTCTCAGATTTAGTTGAAACTTCTTGTTCCTAGATCTTGTTCCTCTGTTTACGAATATATACCATTATAGGCGTAGTTACTCGAAGTTTCATTATACACAGCAATATAGATTTAGTGAAAAGTTTCGACAAGAAGCGAACTGACGAAGTGGCAACGTACCTGACACGTACTCAGAAGACTCGGGTTCGAAACCCCCCTCGTGGTATGTAATTTTTTTTTTCAATCTATTTACTACAATTAATTGGATTTCAAATATATATGCAATGATACTATTCATGACAAACAAAAAATAATAATTGTGTGCAAAAGTAATATAATAAATAATTAAATCAAAGCACATTTTACGAAGGACATTAGCAACAAAACGAGCAGATGTGCGTGCAATAAAACTTTATTAGATGTGGAAATGTTTTCGTTATTTATGTTACAATTATTTAGCATATATATATTTTTACGATTATGTTTTGTTTTCAGGCACAGCCAACGAGTTATGCTTTGATTTAATTATTTATTATATTAATTTTGCACACAATTTTTATTTCTTGTTTGTTATGAATAGTATTATTGCAGTAAATAAATCGAAAAAAAAAATTACATACCACGAAAGGATTCGAACTCGACCCTTCTCAGTATGCGTCAGGTACGTTGTCACTTCGCCACTTCGCTTCTTGTCAAAAGCTTTCATTAAATCATTAAAGCTTTCATTGAAATATAACCTACCGACGTGAATAAACGGACAATACCACCAACTGCAGACTTCCAAAAGCAACGATTTTAAAATTGACGGCGTCCAACTGGCACGAGTCCAAACGGACCGGCGCGGCGCCCAGTCGGCAGGGAATCCAAACGGTCCGGTGTACAGTAGGACTTAAACGGCTTTCGACGATCAAAAGTCGATTTTCGTCAATTCAAAAATTGAAAAACTATTTGCCTACATGTTTCAAAAACAGGCCGAGCGGTGGCTATATGTATAGGAAAAAGTTGCTCGAAATTATCATCTCAAAAACATATTAAACAATGAGCGCAATCGGTGGGGTGGGTGAGATGTCGATAATGTCGAGACTTCATTCTTCACTTCATCGTCTGTTGAAAATTTTTTTCCACCTATATGCATCTTCAGGGAGGTGATCAGGTGATAATCTGAAGGTGCCAGGTCGGGGGAATAAACAATCTTAATCTTAAAAATCTCAAACGGAGCTTTTCCCTTCGCGAGAAAGAAACGTATCACGGCTCGCAACTCGCACTTCGCGGGAGATTGTATAGACATGTTTTGCGCATCAAGTTATTACAGTCACAATTTTTGTCACACTGAGCTGTTCTACGTCTCATTTGAACCAGGAGTACTTCATCTACAACGCAGCGTGAGATCAACAACTTTGTCAACAAAAATTTCCTCCGCCCATGAGAACGTCAGTACTCTTACTTTCTGGACGTGCCTCGTAATATGTGCTCTAAATATGTACATAATTTTAATATAAATAACCGCAGTCACACTTTTATCGTTGTTACCAAAATAATACTAGTTGTAAGCATAAAAACAGAGTAAACTCTGAATTTCAGAATAAAATAATTGTTTTCTTAATTGTTTTTAACGGAACATTCACGAATAGCACAATTTATAAGCATATAAAGAGTAATGGAGCGGAAACCGATGAATTTTTGTTGCGCATTACTCTACTGTATATTGAATGGTGGTATAAGGGAAGGTTTGACGACATGGAGTCAAAACTGCCACATTATCGAAGGTGTCGTCAAAACTGCCAATTATAGTTTTTTCTAATATACGCGGAAACGAAAAGTAGTATTTCAAAAATTCCTTTTGCATACTACTTGCTGGGTTGTAACGCATTATTTTAAGCACCTACCAAAATGTGGCGCCAGAACTGCCCATCGACATATATATATATATACTGATTACTTCCCACAGATCAATGTACATTTAATAACAATATCATTAGTACTATACCTACATTAGATATGTAATGTAGATTTAATAACAATATCATTATTACCATATCTACATTAGATAGAGTGCAATATACGGATACGTTCCCACAGATCAATGTTCATTTAATAGCAATATCATTGATATTATGTCCACATTCGATATGTAGTGTACATTTAATAACAAAATCGTTATTACCATATATACATACGATAGAATGTAATATACTGATTCCTTCCCACAGATCAATGGACATTTAATAACAATATCATTAGTACTATACCAACATTAAATATGTAACGTAGATTTAATAACAATATCATTATTACCATATCTACATTAGATATAATGTAATATGCAGATTCCTTCCCACAGATCAATGTACATCTCATACCAATATCATTAGTACTATATCTACATTACATATGTAATGTACAATTAATAACAATATTATTATTATCATATCTACATTAGATATAATGTAATATACTGATTACTACCCACAGATCAATGTAAATTTTATAACAATATCATTCGTACTATATCCACATACGCTATAATGTAATATACTGATTCCCTCCCACAGATCAATGTACATTTAATAACAATATCATTAGTACTATTTCTACATTCGATATAATGTAATATACTGATTCATTTCCTCAGATCAATGTACATTTAATAACAATATCATTAGTACTATACCTACATTAAATATGTAATGTAGATTTAACAACAATATCATTATTACCATACCTACATTAGATACAATGTAATATACTGATTCCTTCCCACAGATCAATGTACATTTAATACCAATATCATTCGTACTATATCTACATACGCTATAATGTAATATACTGATTCCCTCCCACAGATCAATGTACATTTAACAACAATACAATTAGTACTATACCAACATTAAATATGTAACGTAGATTTAATAACAATATCATTATTACCATATCTACACTAGATATAATGTCATATACAGATTCATTCCAACAGATCAATTTACATTTAATCACAATATCGTTAGTACTATATCTACATTAAATATGTAATGTAGATTTAATAACAATATGTTTATTACCATATCTACATTAGATATAATGTAATATGCTGATCCCTTCCCACAGATCAATGTACATTTAATACCAATATCATTAGTACTATATCTACATTCGCTATAATGTAATATACTGATTCCTTCCCACAGATCAATGTACATTTAACAACAATACAATTAGTACTATACCTACATTAAATTTGTAATGTACATTTAATAACAATATTATTATTACCATATCTACATTAGATATAATGTAATATACTGATTCATTCCCACAGAACAATGTACATTTAATACCAATATCATTAGTACTATACCTACATTATATATGTAATGTAGATTTAATAACAATATCATTATTACCATATCTACATTAGATATAATGTATTATACCGATTCCTTCCCATAGATCAATGTACATCTAATACCAATATCATTAGTACCATATCTAAATTCGACATAATGTAATATACTGATTCCTCCCGACAGATCAATGTTCATTTGATAATAATATCATTAGTACTATATCT